CTTTCACAAAGGATGGTGCTGGGTTTCCAGAAGACACTTACCATATTGCAAAATGTCCGTAGTCTTAGTTGTATCCCTTCATGTCAGCCATGAAGGATTTCAGGCCCAGGTGCTTTGGCTGCGTTTTCCAGCAGGGTCTGGTCCCACTGGACTCTGCGTTTCAGGTAACTCCCACGTGACTTGTCTCATATCAGATTAGTCATGATTACCATGCAACAGCTATTGTGCTCCTGCCAAAATCCGGTGGTCTGCCACAGCCCATGGAAAACACCAGAGAAGTTGTAAGAAAGGCTCAAAAGCTGCTTCATCCAGGTGGCCTGGTTTCCCAGCCTTGCTGTGACCAGCACCCTTCAGGACTGCTTGCATGTCCCTGCTCCCAGCATTTCTTGTTCTCCACATGCAGCTCTCCCCCAGCAGAGCAATGCTGTGCTGTACGTAAGTTCATAATCATGTCTCATTGCCAGTGTCCGCTATGGCAGCCCTCAGAAAACCCTGGTATTGAGGGTGGGGTGCATATGGCGCTGCTGAGCTGTAGCCTGCCGGGCTCTGGGTCGTGTCCCCAGCTGCTCTCACGTCAGCATGTGCGTGTGGGGCCAGCAGGTGCCCGAGCGCGTGGATCTCCAGCGTCTCTATCCACCTCTCTCCTAAACCATCATTAAAACATGCAAACTCCACAGCCTGCGGTGTTTCCTTGGGGCAGTGGGCCAGGTCCCGCAGGAAACCTTCCTGCGGGCACCTGCGGTGAGCGTTGACCTCTTGCCATGCGGCACCCCAGGAGCCTGCCCGGCCCCACAGCAGAGGTTTCCTCACCTTGGGGTGACATGTGAGACAACAGCATGGCATGAGGGATGCTGGCCTCATGCCCCAGGGGTATCCCAAAGCCAGCAGGGGCTGGGGAGTGAGGGGGCTGTTTGGGGGTCCAGGCATGTGGAGGCGGCAGGGAGTTGATGTGGGGTGGGTGGGGTGTCATAGCTTCCCCACCGCTGCTGCAGGGGACCGGGGCAAATGTGGCTGGG